GATTTTAAAAGATCTTTATTAACTCCATCATGGCCACCTACTGAAATACACAGGAAACATGGTTACCAGAGAAACTCGAGAACCATTCCTAAGTGAAGAATTTCTGGTATTGTTGCTATTTCACAGCATAGTATGGGAGGCCCTGGACCATATGGTAAAATCAGAAAAATCAAAAACTTATTTGGAAAAAAAAAAAACTAAAAGGTTTATAGAAAATGCCCTTACATTAACAATTCAAAGGAATCAATAAAGTTTAGTATGGTGTCCAACGTAAATAAAAAGGGGAAATAAAGATCTAAGGGTGGGATTGATTGAATGGAGGAAATAGACTATTTCATGGATTAGCTGGCATATCATTATGAGAGAACCGTTGTAAAGGCTCTAGAAACCAGAGGTGAAGCAGGTAGAAAAGCTTTTGATGAACATTCTCATCTCCAACCACAACCCCAGGTAAGGGCCTTGCCCTCCACCTGTAGCTCAGCCTAGAGCCCTGCATCTAGACTCAACCTTGTCTCAGACTGTTTCTGCCTCCAGCCCCTGCACTGAGCCAACCTTGGCCCATCCATGTGGTTGTTAACTAGAATTTTTCAGTCTGAAGTAGTCTATCTTGACTGACAACCTGAGCCTCAGAGCTCTGCCCCTTCAAAACCCAGGCAGGAAGTGGAAGTGGAGTGACTTGTTCATCTGGGCTTTTGTGCTGCCTCCTCCCATTGTGTTGGAGACTTTCATGTTGGTAGTGATCCAGCCAAGCCCAGCCCAGCTTTGGTGAGGCCAGCTCAAAGGGGACATTATGGGGGTTGAAGGAGGAGTCAAGGGCTTGCTTGGTCTGAGCTGCTGAGGGACCCACTTAAAGAGTCCTGGTGTGTGCTGCTCACATCCACTAGGGGCTGCGGGGCCTCCCATCACTGCTAGAGCCCAGTGTCTGTTAAGATGTCATTCCCTGTGAAGATTTGTGTTGGGAAATCCTATACGGGTGTGTGCACAGGGTCTTTTAATCTGCAAAAACCTCCAGACAACCTTTGTGACTTT